AAATGGATCATGGTAGTCTAACTTCTCCGAATCTGTATAATTACAATAAGAGGTTGGTATTTGTGTTATTCTATATTATAGGACATCAGGTAATCATAAATTATATTAGTTTTTAATTGAAATATATATCACATTAAAGCGGCAATATCTTAAAAACTTACTTTGCAACATTATCATATCTTAGTTTAGTATCATTCACTTTTTGCAAAAATAATGCTTCAAATCTATCCGCTTCGTTTTCATTAAAATATTCCATTGCAATCCTAGCTTCATGTTGTATCTGCAGACATCAAAAGATGAAGAGTCGCGTATATATTGCGTAAGGAATTCTTATATATTAGCTCAAACTAGTTGCAAGCATTACTGAAAAGGCTGAACATAATTTACTTGTTCAAGAGCAGTTTTTGTCATCCCGCTTAACAAATTCAATTTTCCGGAATTGTCAACAAATACAACGTCAAAGTTTTCTGCAAATGACTTCTCTGAAAACTATATAATTTAGATTGATATAATTGATAAGCAACAATTAAGATGAAACATATTCTTAAATGATCTGAAACAAATACTTCTTCAGATCCTTCTAATTTGTTCATGAATACTGGATTTCGGATAAAATCATGGTTTGCTATTAACAATTAGTAAATAGCAATGATATAAATATAATACAATTTTTAACGAACAAGGAAACATATACATTATAAAATATCACTTACCTAAAAAATCCATAGTTCCCTTAACCAATTGATAAGAACTATACCCATTGGCCAATTTCTTTCCTCCATTTACACCTCCGTCATGTAATAAATAACACATTAGCATCATCCATACAAATCCATTGAACCCACTCCAGCCATCTTCGTCACCGCCTATGCCTCTTTGATGAAGCCACACCTTTGCTAGTTTACATGCATCATTAAATGCAGGACAATCTTTGGAATTTTTATACAACAAGTTTAGGTGAGAAACACAATGCATGTCCTTTAAGATAGCAGAATTGTATTGCGGTGTTGGTGGAAGCGAGTCTATTGATTGTTGTTGTGGGATTTGACCTAAATTCTGGAAATGTTGGGGACGAATATTATTTCGAGATGGTGAAAGACGTTGAGGTGAAAATACATCCATTGGAATGCAAGGTAATATCCGAATAACAAAATTGAGAGCAGAAAAATCTGCGCCGGAATGATCTGGATTGTATTTGTAACATTTATTAATTCAAAATAATAATTGATTCTGGTAAACAAAGTAATATTTTAATTTATCTTACTTTCAAGTGGTTTAAGCAATATAATAGGACGACGTCTATCTCCAAAAAGTGCGCCAAATTCTACGCTTACATTCAATGCCAAGTCATTGTCTTTTAAACTAGCGGATAATACTGCCAGATAATATGCGCGTTTATAAAAATAACGGTAATTCATATAATCTTTTTCTTGAAATATAGACTAATAGATCGTTTGCAAGAACAAGACGCATTAAATGCATGTACAAAATTGGTGGCATTTAATTAAAAAAAAAAAAACAAAAAAAATTTAAAAATGTGATATGTCACCTTCGGCATGATGACTACCACATCCACATTAAACCCATTTCGACTACGCACAACGCTTTTCAATGGATAACTACCGACCAAGTAAAAGGCTGCCGGCTTTTTAAATCCAAATTGGTATTTTACATCATCAGAAGGTTGAGGATCCGGAAATGGGATGGTTATACCGTGTTTTTTCAATAACATAGATTTTACTTCTGCGATCTATAAAAAATTAAATTATTACAGAATATATATCATTATTATTTTTTAATTTTCATAATTAGAATAATACGACTTACTGAAAGGTCAGGTTTGTCATTAATATTTTCAAATATTTCTTTTAGCTTATGTAATGTATTTTCTAAACTTGCAGTTTTAGAAAAATCGATACTAACTTCCGATAAAAGTTCATCGATCTAAGTGTAAAAATATAATTTTTCATTTGATTATCGTAAAAAAATAATAATAATAATAATAAAAATAAAAAATAAATTTATACATTACTTGAAGTTTAAATAGATTAGACTTATACAAGTCCGATGTCTCTTTTAATCCTTGGATTTCTTCGTTTGTAGGTGGTTTATGTATTGAAGAAATATTTTCTGATTTCACATTCCCTTTATGCGCTTCTACACTTATATCATTTCCGTTTCCAACATTATCTGATGGTTCATCTAGCCAAATGTCAGAAGTATTATTGGATTGAACATCTTGCATTTGATCATCATCGCTTTCATGATCGTCCAAGTAATCGTCTTGATTAATTTCATCTTCTGAATATTCCATTTTTTTTTTTTTTTTTACCTAAGGGTAGATTAAAATTATATAAAAAAAAAAATATATATAGATATATATAATCTGTGATACAGTACACTCGTGTAACCAACAATCAGATGATCGGATGATATATAATTTCAACGTCACATAACCTCGGAAGCCAATTTACTAATTTTCTCACAGTAACCAATTCAAAATGTCTCAGAATATTGATTATGAAAATCTTGACCTTGAAGCTATCGACTTTGATAAAATTGATTATTCCGATACAGATTTTCTACTTCCATTAGTTCAAAAATCTCCAAAACCTGCTTTAACGGTATTTCCTATTGAAATTTGGATACAAATCGTTTCTTACGTTAATGATATTCAAACTTTAAAAAGTCTAATTTTAACATGTTCAGTATTACGAGAAATTTTAAAAGAACCATTAATAACACAGATGGTCAATTGCGAGCCATTGAACAAATTATTTGAATTGACTAAAGAATGCATAGGAAAGGAAAAAAATGATGATAAAGAAATTCAAAAATTGGATATTAAAGAAATTGTTTTAAAGATGCATAAATATGTTGATAAAGTTGTCTACAGTGAAAGTGGCCCATCTAAATGGACTGATGATATATTTGAATGGGATGGATACAATGAAAAGTTGGATCTTTCTGCTAATCAAGAAGCATTCAGACGTGAAGTTGGACGTAAAGGAAAAGCTAGAGCCAGAGCTTATATCGAATGGGAATTGAAGGTTGAAAATGAGAAGAAAGTATTGAAAAGAGAGTTAGCTAAATGTTGGGCAGTTACTGGAAAGATGTTTCCATTTAGGTACAGATAATAATTATAATGTTTAATTTAAATATGCATAAATAAAATTCATTCTTGACATAATTTGTTTATATAATAGCCATGCAGAGAATCGAGAATGGAAAAGGCGACGTCAAGAAAGATCAAATCCAGATCAGGAAAGTCAGTTAACACCAAAGGAAAATAAAGAATCTCATAAACTAAAACAGTACCAGCAAAGTGGTGTTTCAAAAAATAGTCCCCAACCAAGATTTTCTAAACAAAGACCTCATAGAATAGAAAATCCGCATCCTTCTCAAACTAGCGATTCGTGGAGGTTTTCACATGAAATACGTAATCAAAGTAAGCCTAAAAGACCGAATGTTGGCAAAGGTGAAGAAGAATATAATAAAAGAGTTTTAACACCATTTGTTACACCGATGCATTTTAACAATGGAGCGTCTTTTGAAGGATTACCACATGATGTAATGACCAATGTTATGATTAAAATATTGAAAAGATTCTTTGGAAGTAATGAAAAGGTATTGAAGTTTCCTTGTGATTTAAGTGGATATCAGAGGAAACGGTTGCATCGACAAGCAGAATTGCTTGGAGGATTAAAAACTATCAGTTTTGGTGAAGGTAGTGGTAGATTTTTGGTCGTTATGCGAGAAGATGTTGAGATTTTATATTAAGCATATCTTAAATATCAGTTTTTTCTTTAAACGACTGTTAAATAATGTAAACTAAATTGTATAATTCGTATTGTATTTTAATAAACAATAATTATAAATCTCACTGGTGGTGTTCAACACCATATAATTTTTTAAAGTAATTTTGTTGTCAAGTTGGATAAAATTAGAGGTTATAGACTAAATATTACCGTATTTTCGCGAAATAACGGGCATGAGCGTTATTCGAAAATTGCAACCTTAAAAATAACACATGGCTTCAAAATAACGCCAATGCGAATCACGAAATAACATAGTAAGAGGAAATTAATTATAGTAATCTTAAAAAATGCATCGAAGCTAGGCTTGATAATAAGTAAACCTACTTTCGGGCTTTAACAAAAGATGTTTTTCAGTTCGAGACGATTCTATAGGGTTAAAATCATCAAAGATGACAGTCCAGTATTTCGCCTGTAATCGCTCTCCAAAGTTTTAGAACGTTTGTTTATCTTTGTAGTAAACAAAGATAAACAAAAATTTGGAGAGCCATTTCGGGCGATCTACTTGATGATTTACCACCGATAGAATCGTCTCGAACTGAAAAACAACTTTTGTTAAAGCCCGAAAGTAGGTTTACTTAGTACCAACCTAGTTTCAATGCATTTTTTTTTGTTTCATATAAAGAAGGTACTTAAGAATTTTATATTTGTCTCAAAATAACGCCCATGCGCGTACTCGAAATAACGCGCATATACTCAAAATAACGCGCAGATGGTGTTATTTCGCGAAAATACGGTAGAACTAAAAATAAATTTAAATTGGGGTTTTTTTTGTGGTGCTGAACATTTTTACTTAATATATCTAATCTTGGTTATTTAAGCAGGTTTTGAGATATACATAGTCACTGTGGTGTTAAACAACACTGGTTAAAATGTAAAAATTTTTATAACTTGTTTTTTTGTGAAATATTTTATTATAAACTTAAAATTGTAAAAGTTTAATTACAAAAAAATACATATATTTAGTAGCTTTAGATAAAGCCTATCAAACTATGTATTTAGTTTTAGGCCTCTTCAAGGGTGGGCAATATAAGAAATAAGCTTCGCTAATGATTAGTAATCATTAATTTTTTAATAGCGGAGTTGCGGAGTTTGCGAAGTTTGCCCACCTATTCTATAGAACATCTAGGGATGGGCAATGTAATTTTTTATGTAATCAGTATGTATTTTTTAATCGTTACATAACTTGTTAATTATTACATATTTATTACATAATTTTTAAGAGAAATCGGCTACTAAATAAAATAATTAAAAAGTTTAATTTATTAAATATATCAATATAAATAAATAAGTAAATAAATAAAATATCGATATTATTTTGAGTACGCGGTAATAAAATATTATTAAAAAAATGTCAAATTGGCCTTTGCCAAATTCACAAATTCGACCTTTACTTCGTGAACTTCCTAAAGGTTCTGCTGGTCATCCGTTAGGACCTCTTTGGCAAGCATTCGATTCAATTAAAACTGATAAAAGACTTAAAGCAAAATGTATTTTTTGTAATTCTGCTAAGCCTATATCCGGCACTGGGTCAATAATGAGTTCACATATTAAAAAATGTGCAAGTATTCCTTTGGAAGTTCAAAACTATCTTATTGGTGCCTATACTATTCAACAACAAAAAAGTTTTTTTTTTTTTTTTTTGAATGTTAATGGTGAGACCATGTCTCTGTCTTTATTAAAATTTAATTTAACTCTCAT